CAGAGGTTGTGGGGATGTCTCTTCCTGGCACTGAAACCCTGGTCAGGGGAGCCCAATGTGGGGAAAGGACCCTTCTTTCCACCAGGGGTATCTCCACAGCCAAGATGTCCCTCCCAATTCTCAACTGCCACACGTGGGTGGGACCTGCTCATTTTGCGTTTTTGCCCCTCATACTAGTCTCGAGGTGGCCTCTTCTGTGCGTCTCCAGTTGCAGGACTTCTTTTCAGCTAAACTTCAGGTGACTCCATAGATGGCTGTTCTGTAGTTTAGCTGTAAATTTGATGTGGTTGTCAGAGGGGCAAACACAACATTTACCTACTTCATCATCTTGACCAGAAGACCTGCCCCACATTAATTTATAAATATAAAAGGTTCTCCTGCATTTTTAGGTAGTAATAATATCCTTTTGTACATATCGTGTTATTTCACATCTATTTCTCTTTATCACGACTTTTTTGCTTTTTGTGGTTAAATGTGCTTTTAAAAATAGCAATCACCTCCCACCTTGTGAAAGTCATTTCTTTACATTCAAATAATGACCACCTAAGCATATTTAATTCCATTTATGTTTCTATAAATAGAAATGATAACTTGTAGATACTGCCTTTATAAAAAAATATTGTGTTTTTCATTTTCTGGTTTGGATAATTTAATCTTTAATTAGAGATCCACGTAGATGTGATTAAATTGTTGTTATTTTATATTCTTTCAGAAGTTTATCCTAGATTTTTATTCAATTTCATTAAATAGAATCATTTGAATCTACAATATTCAACCTGGTTTTACATTTCCTGTTAATCTTTTCCTTTTATGACTTTTCCACTCTTTAACTTTTTTCTATATAAATACACATATTTATAAAACCACCTAAGTAAGAGAAATAAGCAAGGTCCCTGTTCATTGGAACTTACATTATAATGTAGAAGGCCCAGTATAAAGAAATATGTGTGGTATAATCTCATGTCCTTAGGGATAAATGTATGAAGAAAGGGGAGCAATAGTTGTAGCGTAAGCAAGAGTTTATAAAAGACGGCTGGGGATGCTTTAGCATGTTAAACAAGGAAAAGAACAAAGACAAGTGTATACTTCTGATGTGACACAAAAATGGTCAAAACTTAAAGGTCAGGAAGAGCAAAGGAAAGATGCTGCAAAGTAAAGCCTCATCCACTACTGGGCCATATAAAAACAAGAGTGATCAAATAAACGTGGAATAGATGCAGGGAGAACAATTAGATCAGGGCTGAGGTGGACACCGTGATGAAGCCAGTGGGGCTGTAAAAGTCCAGGCAGTGTGAGGTCCCTCGAGTCCAAAGGAACTGCAGCACCAATGTCAGCTGCCTCTTCTCTCTGCACTTGGCTGTCTGTGGGGTCTTCATTTTTGCTTTTCTCTCATTGGCAGGAACTAGTCTCTTAAAACTAATCTAGCATTATTGCAGTAGAGTCCAGAGTTTTTTGACTGTGTTCCAAAGTAAGACATTCCTTTCACATTGTGATCTAGCATGCCTGAACCAAACACAGCAATATGCACGCATGTAGACACTCACACACACACAAACACACACATACACACTCACATGACTGACAAAGAAAACCATAAAACAATTACGTATGTACCTTTACTATAGGTAATACACTCTCATATTTTCTTTTGTGCCTTCTTGATTCTATTCTAATTCTTACAAACCATAGTCTGACACCCTAGTGGGTCTTGATACAGAATATGGAAAACATTCCTCTGGCATGTCCTCCACATCTAGGTCAGTGTTTCCTTCTTCTCTTCCTTCTCTCATCATCAACAATTTCTGTGTGAATGTTCTCTCATCCCTCCATGGAATGCTTATTTATTCAGCTACTGTTCCCAACTCAGCTAAGTCAGGTAGGAGAGTGGTGATGTGTATAACATGGTGTGTGCCTCATAGCATTCACTGTGTCGCAGGAAGAAAAGACATAGAATTTTTTTTAATTACATGATGAAGACCCAAACACCTAAATTAAGTGCATGAAAATGTGTCCTTTTCCTGTGACAACGTTAAGGAAAAAAAAGGTTTATGAAGGAGAATAGGCAGGCAATCTGAAAGAGGATGTAGAGTTTGGAGGACAGAGAGGTGGTGAAATATTGCCAAAAGGCCAATGGAGAGGCTCCAAAAATGGGTGTGTAGATACCGTGAGCCTAAAGCTGTGGCATCAAGTGAAGCTGGGAGTCAAGTTAAATGTTTGGGAGTAAGTGTGAGTGAAGGCAGGGAGTGCCCTGTGAGAGTGAAGCTGGCAGAAAAGTTGCAAAGAGTTAAGCTCTTATTTGAAGCTACAGAATTTTGGCTTCTGTCTCCTTTGGGGAGTCACTAGGGGAGGAATTTATATCAGGGAGTTTAATGTCAGCTTTGATTACAAAGCTGATCAGAAATTCCTCTTTTAGGCTTTAGGAATATCTATTTGGTTAGAGGGGTCCATCATGTGATAGATGGAAGAGAAGACAGGAATTGAAATGCGGCTGTGGAATTGGAGACCGAGAGGTGGGGAAGCGATGGAGACACTGGAGAAGTAGAAGAAAATAATCAGCCTCATCTCATCACAGGGGTAACCTCTCATTTACCCACAGGAAGGAACTGTGCTAATCATGTTACACATATTGTCCAAATCTGTCACCATTCTGGATGAATACCACTCTCTGCAGTATTTGGGTGAAGATATTAACATTTAGACTGGTCTAGTTGTCTGTCCTTTTTCAGAAAGCTAAAAGGTGGTAGATCTGAGAATCAAAACCACATTTTCTGCTTCCAAAAATTCTGCACTTAATGTCATTTCTAAAAATCTCTTCTCATTTCAGCTTTAAAAAAAAAAAGCATTTTTCATGCATGTATTTCCCTTTGTAAATTGCAGATTTATTCTCTCAGCACATTTTCTAGTGGGATGTTTGTTTTTAAGGTGTCTTGACAGCATAAAGATATTGCTATTTTCTCATTTGAATAAATTGTTATTTCCTATTTTGTTAATTATTCTGGCCTCAAGCATGGGGATATAACTGGGGTTGGCATGTTGCCAAAAAAAGGTTGTATTCTCCTCATCACAATCTCTCAGGGATGCCCACCCCCCTGCCACAGCTTATTAGATTCATGCTCTCTCTCTCTCTCTCTCTCTCTCTCTCTCTCTCTCTCTCTCTCTCTCTCTCTCTCTCTCTCTCTCTGATTTTATCTCTTTTATTTAAATATTTTTAAAGTACAGGGCAGAAAAATGTCATATCAAAATGGAGTCCCATTTTTACATCTCTGTGGAGTCTTACCAACTGGAATTTGGTACTGTTTCTATATTGTCTCAAAGAAGATAATCTGTTGACAGCTTGCTTCATATCATTTCTTTCCTCATTATTGTGTCTGGGGATGAGTAGAGACTGGTAGTAACATGGCCCCAGGAGGACATAGTGTATGTAGTTTGTAGAGCATGAGCAATTCTCAAGGCAGGGGTACCTAGATCATATACTCCAAAATGTGTTCTTTAAGATATAAATGCAGAATGCCAATCAACATATGGAAATAAAGAAGAGATCATTTCTATTCTAGAATTCCCTGGAAATAAAATAAAGAAAGTGTGAGGAACAACATGTAATTGAGGGATCTCTTTGTCTTGAAGTTTCATCTGTAACAGACAGGCCATCTCATTCCTCCACATTCTCTGACACCATCCCTATCATCTCTCTCTTGTTCATTCACCTCACCACATGGCTTCCTTTTGAGCATTGATTAATTGAGACAAATGTCAACCTCAAGACCTTTGCACTGGCTCTTTCCCATGCAAGTTACAGACACCCCCAGAAATCTTCCTGTCTTCCCCTTTGTCTTCCTTGAGATCTCTGTTCAAATGGTACCTTGTTTGCATGTCTTTCTCAATTCTAGCACAAATAACAACACACCCAGTCTCTTTTATACCTACTTTCTTTTTCTTCAAAGCACCTCTACAGATGGACATCATATATGATATTTCATTTTTTATTAGTTTCAAGTATACAGTACATTGGTTAGGCATTTATATAGTTTATAAAACGATCCCCCTAATTTCTCCTTCTCTCCTCTGGTTTTCCACCTAGCCAATATATTACTGCTAACTGCATTTCCTAGACTGTGCTCCCCATCCCCATGACCATCTATCAACTACTAATTTGTACTTCTTTAATACTTCACCCCATTCTCTCAGCCCACAACCTCCCCTCTACTCTGTTCATCACTAAATTGTCCTCTATATTTGTGAGTCTGTTTTTGATTAATCTGTTCTTTTTGTTCCTTAAATGTTCTCAGAAAACTAAGAGTCACTGAAAAAAGAAATTGAAGAAGATACAAATAAATGGAAGCATACACTGTGCCCATAGGTAGGAAGAATCAACATAATTAAAATGGTCATACTACCCAAAGCAATCTATAGATTCAATGCAATCCCTATCAAAATACCATTGGCATTTTTCAGAGAGCTAGGACAAATAATCCTAAAATTTATTTAGAAACATAAAAGACCACAAATAGCCACAGTAATCTTGAGAAAGACAAACTAAGTTGGAAGTATCACACTACCTGACATCAAACTATATTACAAGGCTACAGTGATCACAACAGCATGATATTTTAATTTTTTTATATTTTTTCCCCATCACTGAATTATAGGAAATCTGTTTCTCAGGACCCTACACTCCTTGATGAGAAAATGGTTAGGACTCAGTATATAGTACTCAAATATAATACAGAATTTCTCATGAAACTTGTAAAATACATGATTTATAGGGGAAAATGCTGAGAATGGGACTAGAATTGGTAATCAGAGCTATCACAAGACTTTTTTAAAAGGGATCAGATTTCTACAAAATTATATACGCATACATACATATAATATGTATGTGTATCTATAGAGAGAACAAAATAGAAATTGTAGAATTTCAACACTGTAGTAACATCCATTGTAAAAATTGATCAGTTTTGTTTTGTTTTGTTTTGTTTCATTTTAGTCATTGCCTCCACCACATGGAACCAGGAAATGATACACGAATTTCAGAATTTCTTTTTCTGGGCCTTTCAGAGGAACCAAAACTGCAGCCCCTCATATTTGGGCTTTTCCTCTCCATGTACCTGATCACTGTGCTTGGAAACGTGCTCATCATCCTGGCCGTCAGCTCAGACTCCCACCTCTACACACCCATGTACTTCTTCCTCTCAAACCTGTCCTTGGTGGACATCTGTTTTACCTCCACCACCATCCCAAAGATGCTGGTGAACATCCAAACTCAGAGCAAAGTCATTACCTATGAAGGCTGCATCACACAACTGTACTTTTTCCTATTCTTTGGAGCATTCGATGACTTCCTCCTAACCTTGATGGCCTATGACCGCTTTGTGGCCATCTGTCACCCCCTGCACTACACAGTCATCATGAACCCCCAGCTCTGTGGACTGCTGCTTCTGGTGTGCTGGATCATGAGCGTCCTATATTCTTTGTTACAAAGCTTAATGGTGTTGAGGCTATCCTTCTGTACAGATTTGGAAATCCCCCACTTTTTCTGTGAACTCAATCAGATGATTAAACTTGCCTGTTCTGATGCTTTTCTTAATAACATGGTGATGTATTCTGGAGTTGGGCTGATGGGTGTTGGTCCCCTCATTGGTATCCTTTACTCTTACTCTAAGATCATTTCTTGCATACGTGGAATGTCATCAGCTCAGGGGAAGTATAAAGCATTTTCTACCTGTGCATCTCACTTATCAGTTGTCTCCTTATTTTATTGTACAGGTCTAGGAGTGTACCTCAGCTCTGCTGCTACCCACAGCTCACAGTCAAGTGCAGTAGCCTCAGTGATGTACACTGTGGTGACACCCATGCTGAACCCCTTCATCTACAGTCTGAGGAACAAAGACATACAGGTGTCTCTAAAAAAATTCTTTGGGATGGCAGGAATAAAAATAACAGAATAATCATGAATGCTATTGTTGAATATCAGAACATATGCCAAAAATTATAAAACAGCAGATTATTATAATTAGCTTCAGTTTTGTTTGCCTTATATTTTATCAGTTAACTAATGCTGTATAACAAACTATCCTAAATCGAATGATTTATTTCAAATGGGGTTATATGATGGGAGTTGTTCTGCTCTCTGCTGAGATACTCATGGGTCCGCATCAGCTAGGAGTCTACATTGTGTTTCTCCAGCTTATCCATGATGTTGTGTAAGGCTGTAATGCACCCCTGTCTTGAACCAATTTATGACAGTTTATTTATATATGTAGTATAATCTTCTAGTTTACAAAAAAAATGAGTTTACCAAAAGTAATTTGCCATAAATTAATGTCACTGTTTTTATATCCATATAAAGCACTTTGCTTTCTACCAAATAATATTTCTCCCTCCTCCATTAAAGTGTGATTCAGCTACCTGTGCTCTACATCCTACCTTGAGCCATGTCATTAGATTATTTTTGCTGCACTTTTTTTTTCTTTTTCAAAATTATTGAAATGACATTGGTTAATAAAATCAAATATTTTCAAGTGTATCATTCAATAATACATCATATGTATATTTATTGTGTGTTCCCACCCAAGTTAAATTTCCTTTCATCACCAAATATTTGATGCCCTTCTTGTACATATTTAAAAATTTAAATTTACTGAATTAAAATGACCTTACAGAATTAAGAGTACATATTGCATGGGTATATTAATACATAATTCAAGGAAGTGTACGAAAGCTTTAATTGCATTGTTATATAACTGTGAAAAATTGCATCTCCTTTAGCCTCATATTTCTTATGGCAATATGGGATAATAATAATTCTGATGCATGACGTACACAAGAAATGAATTCTGTAAAACTATTTTTTTAGTCCAAAAGCTCTTTCATGAGTTAGTAGTTTATATATTTGTGTATTTATATATTTTTAGTAAACATACTAACTTGCATATATGCATATATACATACTAAATGATCCCATTTTTTTATGTTGAAAAGAAATTTTAGACAATGTTGGAGTGGATAAAAATGAATACAATGATAGGTTAAATTGACATAAAAATTTTAAAATGCAGAAATGTAGACACAAAGATTTAAAATGAATTGGTTTTCTCTAATTTTAATAATGAATTATTTTCTTATACTGTTTAAAGTCCTCAAATTCAGAACCACATTTACATTTATGCAATGGGGAATTCTCTGTACAAGGTAATGGGGAAATGCCCAATTTGACTTTTAATTTTTTTCTTCTACTTGATATGAGTTTCAACACAAAATGTTTTAACCCAAAAAAAGAAAAATGAATGAACCAAGATGTTTAAAGTAGTTTCCTCAAAAATAAATTATTGGATAAATGTCTGTCTAACATTTCTATTGTTGCTATAACTAATCACCACACTAGGATTTAAAAATATATATATTTATTCACCTATAGTTCTGGAGGTAAGAAGCCTGATGAGACCTTGGACTAAAATTTAGTTTTCTACAAGATTAGTTCCTTCTGGAGGCTCCAAGAGAGAATCTGTTTCCCCTCCTATTCCAGCTTTTCATGGCCACAAGCATTCCTTGGCTCATGGCCCTTTCTCCATCTTCAAAGCCTGCTGTGTTGAATCTTACTGTCTTCCTCTGATTCCAACTATTCTTCCTTCCTGTTCCACATTCTAGGATGATGGTGATGACATTAGTCTCACCCGCATAATCACGTCCAATGTTATCATAAAGGCATTTGACTAGCCAAACTATCTCATCTGCTACTTTAATCCTACCTTGTGGTGAAAAATAATGTATTAAAAGTTTCTGGGAATTACAATGTGAATGTCTTTTGGAAGCTCTTATGCTTCTTAATATAAAATTTTTTCAGAAATATTATATAATGTCACCCAAGGGCCCTTATACAGAAGAATCAAACAGGTATTTTTTAGAATTATATCATATGATGTTATTCATACATCCTTATATAAAATAATTGAACAATGAATTCATAATAGCCTCTGGAATGAGTGAACACCTTATTTGTTCAAAGTAACATCCAAAAATGATTTTTGGTTCAGAAGACATAAAACTATCTGCACCTGACTCTAAACACAGAACTACAGCCTTGCTACTCAAAGAATGGTCCTCAGACCAGGACCTGCAGCATCAACATCACCTGGGAGATTGTTCGATTCTCAGAATCTCTAGACTAACATGATCTGCATTTGAAGTAGAATCCTGGGTGACTCGTATGAACACTGAATTAGAAGAAGTGCTGGTCCAGACTAAGTTTTTCTCACCTTCTCAGTTAGACATAATTACTTGTGTTGGGTGTTGTAAGTGTTTCACAGCCTCCCTAGACATTGTCAAATATCCCAGGGGAAACAGCATCTCTGGTTGGAAATCACTGACCCAGAGTTTGAAAACTGGAAGCATCCTGACAGATCCTAATCAAGAACCATCCCTCACTCAGTTTGTAACTTCAGGTAGATCAATAAACTCCTTCAAGCCCCATTTCTGCAAAAAGGAATTGAGTTTGCAATAGTACTACCTCATAAAAACAGACCTTTTAAAAAACTTAAATCAGACCAAGTCTATAGGATGTTAAATTCAGATTACATGGCATAAAAATATTGAAATGTATCTCTCATAATTAACAAATACCTTATAATGAGGCCCTGAATGACAGCTTTTACTTTGTGATATAAGTACAAAATTTATCATTATTTTGACAAATGAATCAGGAAGCCAGAGTGTGGTGCCCAGGATTGCATATCAAGAGGAACCCCGCTTTCCTCTTGTTAAAAAGGAAATAGCAATTCTCTGGAGACATCAAGGCTGAGTCTCATCACAAATCAGTGCTTTACAGATCCATGGGACCTAGTCTTGACAGATTTTTTATTCTCAGACTGTGGAGAAAACATGAAGTCAGGGTTGAAATAAGGTGGTGGAAGTTTAGAGTTCAGGGAGATCAAGGACACAAAGTCGTAAAAACTAAATTCATTTGACTTCTAACCTGGTCTCTTGGGTCAGAGAATCATTAGGAAAAATTTCCTTTCTGTTATTCCAGAGGCCCAGAGAGAAATCATGTGCTTAGAGGTTGGAATAACAGGAGGGAGGTGGCTGATGTGCAGATAGAGAGTGGTAATACTTCCTCTGCGCAGTCCTTCAGCTTGTACAGTGTTGGTGGACAGGACATGGTTGTTGCTTTTGACTCCTAAGCTGGCTCAGAACTGATGCTTCACTCCCTTCTGCTCTCTTGTCTGGAGACAGAGCTTCAGTCTCCATCACAAATTATCCAGGGAGGAATTCAGACTTCCAGACAGAGTCCTCCCTCTCAGAGACCCCATCCAGGTGAGTCTGAGAGCCCAGCAGTTCAGGAGAGCATCAGAGAGAATGGAACCTGAGAACTCTTACCCAAGTCACATGAGAGCACAATCAGCTCAGCCCAGAGATAAGTGATCACTGTGTTATATTTTTGGTTAAGTAATTTATCATTAATTTATTTATTATTTTATCAAGCATGTGTATGCAGTACAGGAATTATAGTTGATGATTATGTCATAGGAATGAGGGTCCAGTTGGGTGAAAACATGAAGTCAGACACTAGAATGAGTGAGATGCATAAAATGATTGCAATAAAATGATAATTATTTGAGTTTTGTTGGTCGGGGAGTAGGAAATAGAGTGCTAGGTGTGGAAGATGGTGCAGTGAAGTGAGAGTGTTTGCATTAAATTTCTAAGATGGGTTGTATTTGAGCATGTCTTGTATTCATTGAAAAGATCCAGACCAGTGGAGATAGATATTACCTTGCAACAGCAGTTCATGATACATCCATTACAGTATCTTCTCTTATGCTCAGTATTCAAATGAAAAAAGTTATTTAATAAGTAAAGAGGAGTACCAAAGAGTTTCGCTTTGAATTATTTCATTACTGATGAGGGTGCATATATTTTGGGTTTGTTAACCATTTACTTTCTCTATTGAAACAGTAGGAATTCCTGTCTCATACTTCGCCTTTCCCTCCAGTGATCATTATTCCATATCTTGAATGAGAAATTCTGTCATGGACTTGAGGAATATGAATGGAGGACTGACCAAATGCTAGGCAAAGAATAGAGGGTGCAGAGAAACCAATGATTTTGCAATTCAGAGAAGGAGAAATTAAGGTCACAGGTTATATCTTAAATTTAATGCATCAAAAGCATTGTAGTCAGACCATGTTCCATATATCCAGTGATGACTTCACTGTACCAGCTAATGGGGTAGAATATCTTCAACTCAATTTAAAGTTTATTTTCTCCTTCATATGGGTTTTCAATGTAATATTCCCTTATTCAAAAGATGCTAATGAATGAATGGAGAGGCTTCAACTCAGTTCCCTCAGCAAATTTTATTGAATAAATATCTGTATTAGATTCTATTGCTGCTGTAAAATATTTCCACACTACTTGTTTAAAACAAATGTATGCACTCATATTTCTGAGTGTCAGAAGCTTGAATGCTTCTCATGGCTAATAGCAAGATGTCTGCAGGGGTGGGTTCCTTCTAACAACTCAGAGTAAAATCTGTTTTCTTTCCAGTTCTAGTTTGCATTCTGGCCACTTGCATTCTCTGTCTCATGGACCCTCTTCAATCTCCAAAGTCAGCAATGTAGCATTTTCACCTTGTCTCTTCTGCTTCTAGAGGTGCCTTAGTCCCACCTAGATGATCCTGACTCATCTTCTACCTTAAATTCATCTGATTAGCAACCCTATTTCATCTGCTCCCCTAATCCTCCCTGCTATAAAAATACCGTATTCAAAGGCTCTGGGGCTTAGGCTGTGGACGTCTTGGAGGTTTTTAATCTGCCCCCCTATGAATTCTATTTCAAAAGCTTATGTGTCACTCAAGGTCCCTTACGTGAAAGAAATAAACACAGAATTTATCACAACCTCTGGAATGAGTAAATACATTATTTTTTTAAAATTACATTCAGAGACGGTATCTGGTTCAGAAAACCTAAAACTACCTACATCTGACTCTAAGAGAGTCAGAGAGTGGTCCACAGACCAGGACCTACAGCTTAACACCACCTGGGAGATTGATTCTCAGAGTCTCTGGGCCTATAAAGACTGCATTTGAACTAGAATCCATCTGTCGCACCCTGCACTACACAGGCATTATAAACCCCTGGCTCTGTGGACTTTTGGTTATGGTGTCCTGGATCATGAGTGCTCTGGTTTCCTTGTTAGAAAGGGTGACTCACATACACATTGAAGTTAAAGAATTGCTGCTCTATACTAGGTTCTCTCAACTTTTACCATTGATATTTGGGAAAGAATAATAATTACTGGGGTACTTTCCTATGGATTGTCAGTATTTAGCAGTATCCCTTCAGAAATTGCCAGATACCCAAGGGGCAAAATCATTTCAGGATGAGGACCACTGCCTAGGAGCAGCCTGAAAATATAATCAAGATCCAACAGATACTCTGTTAATTTTAGCCTGAAAATATAATCAAGATCCAACAGATACATCATTAATTTTGAGCACATCACTAACCCCTTCTGCTCCACCCCAGGGCCTTTGTGCTGACCATTATCTACGGGGTACACATTTGCCCACATAACTTTGCATCTCTGTCCTTTTCTTTCTTTAAGTCTCTGTTCAAATGTCATCTTGTTTTCAGGTCTTATCTAAGTACCTGTAAGAAATAGAACGCCCTAATCACTTTCTCCTTCAGAGTGGCTTTCCTTTTCTTCACACTATCTGTCACTATCTAAAATGTTATATGTTTTTATCATTTTCTTCCACATTCTTTCTTCATCATTGACTCACAGCCTAGACAATGCCCAAACATGGCTAGCAAACAATATTTTGGAAATGCATAAAGAATTTCTCATTAACAATGTAAAATACATGAACCCTCTGAAGAAAAAGCAGAATGGGACAAAAATTCCTAATAGGAAATGGCACAAGACTCCAAGAGGGAACTAGATTCATATAAAAATATTGAAATTAATTTCTTAACTGCAAAATATAAACTCTAGTATTAAAACTATGTGAGTACTGTGAGTTTGTATAAAAATTACTCATGTTGTTTTCCTCTTTCTTATAAGTCGCCTCCACCACATGGAGCCAGACAATCTTACAAGAGTTTCAGAATTTCTTCTTCTGGGACTTTCAGAAGAACCAGAACTGCAGCCCTGCATATTTGAGCTCTTCCTCTCCATGTACCTGATCACTGTGCTTGGAAACGTGCTCATCATCCTGGCCGTCAGCTCAGACTCCCACCTCCACACGGACCTCCACACCCCCATGTACTTCTTCCTCTGCAACCTGTCCTTGGTGGACATCTGTTTTACCTCCACCACCATCCCAAAGATGCTGGTGAACATCCAGACACAGAGCAAAGTCATTACCTATGAAGGCTGCAACACACAACTGTACTTTTTCCTATTCTTTGGAGCATTCAATGACTTCCTCCTAACCTTGATGGCCTATGACCACTTTGTGGCCATCTGTCACCCCTTGCACTACATGGTCATCATGAACCCCCGGCTCTGTGGACTTTTAGTTTTTGTGTCCTGGATCGTGAGTGCTCTGGTTTCCTTGTTAGAAAGCATAATGGAGTTGAGTCTATCCTTCTGTGCAGGCTTGGAAATCCCCCATTTTACCTGTGAACTAAATCAGATGATTAAATTTGCCTGTTCTGACACCTTTCTTAATAACATGGTGTTGTATTTTGAAACTGTGCTGCTGGGTAGTTGTCCCCTGGCTGGTATCTTTTACTCTTACTCTAAGATAGTGTCCTCCATACATGGAATGTCATCAGCTCAGGGAAAGTAAAAAGCATTTTCTACCTGTGTGTCTCACCTCTCAGTTGTCTCCTTATTTTATAGTACAAGCCTAGGAGTGTACCTCAGCTCTGCTGCTACCCACAGTTCACAGTCAAGTGCAGTAGCCTCAGTGATGTACACTGTGGTGACACCCATGCTGAACCCCTTCATCCAAAGAATAGGAAAAAGTACAGTTGTGTGTTGCAGCCTTCATAGGTAATGACTTTGCTCTGAGTTTGGATGTTCACCAGCATCTTTGGGATGGTGGTGGAGGTAAAACAGATGTCCACCAAGGACAGGTTGCAGAGGAAGAAGTACATGGGTGTGTGGAGGTGGAGGTCTGAGCTGATGGCCAGGATGATGAGCACGTTATTTCAGGAAAATCTGAAATCTCAGTTTTCACTTTGGTATCTCTCATTCTATTTAATCAGTACCTTAACTTCTACTCCTGATAATGTAGACTTCATCATTGTTCCCTTTAAGTCTTAGCCTGTTGATAGTGATGCTATAGGTGAGGAAGGCCTCGGGCACTGGCTTGGGCCCCTACTGCTTGTTACTCAGACCAGAGTCAACATTGTAGCTGGATCAGCACTTGTGGTCCTTATTATATTCGTAATAGCATCAGGGAATTATGAAAACACCAGGTTTATTACTCACAGATTCTGGTAAAGCCAGAGAATTAAGACACCCAGAAAAATATCTCTAATACAAAATATGTTTGTAAGTTAGTTTACACTAACAGCCACTGGCAGGAAGTCACATGGCTCCCTGTTAACCATTATAGAAAGTGTTCAGCCAAGGACTGACCAGTTAGACTACTGGAAGCACAAATACCCAAGTCATGGAGATACTAATAGCATGCGATGAGTAAGAGCACAAGTCATAGAACTCCCACTCCTGAACACCAGGATAACCTACTGACCAGCGTTGCTAAGATGTTTTCAGCCCACAAAGCCAACAAGCACCCCACCAGAATCTCCCTGAAACCAGACAAGGCAACACCAGGATGGAAGTAGATAATTAGTAGATGAAAATTAGCCACTTACTTAATTAAGGACCAATCAGTGAGACCCACGACTCCAAACCCCTTACTCATGATTCCTCATCATCTTTGATCTATATTAACCTCTTATCTGTAAGCCATCAAGGAGTTCGGGCTTTTGAGCACTGGCTTTCCCGCTCCTCTTGGTGGCTCTGTTTTCAATAAAATGGCCAATATTTTTTCAATGCAAAAACTCTGTGTCAATTCTCATTGATTTGCTGTGCACTTGGGTGGGTACAAATTCACTTTTGGTTAGTTCAATTTTACTGGAGGGCACACAGCACACCCAAGACCACACAGGAAGGTTTGAGTGGGTGAGAGAGAGAGAGGGAGAGAGAGAAAGAGAGAGAGAGAGAGAGAGAGAGAATGGATAGAGGGCTCCAATGGCAGAGTGACTAAGGTTTTGTGTATTTGCATTTTATTAGCAAATTTAAAACAAGTGTAACTAGAGTGTGAGAAGAGAAAAGCAGGGTAACTCATGTAGTCAAGTATCTAGGTTACCCAGGGCTTTCGAAAGGGGACCTTTCTTGGTTGGGTGGTCTGGGTGCTCATCTAGTAGCCATGTCGTATAGCTGGTGATAAAGACTGACCTGAACTTTAAGCAAATGAAATTGCTCAGGAGGGTCTACGAGAGGAGCTAGGGCTTATGGAATTACTCGCGCTCTATGTAATCGCGAGAACCTTACAGGAAGAACTTTTATATTTATAATATTGTTGCAGGAAGCGACACCTGACGGAGAAAATTGGACGCTCAGACAACTTTGTTAGAGAAAGGAGAATTTATTGGCTGTCGGAGCGCGTGGGGGTTAACAACACCATGTACAAGCTCCCCTTGGTTAGATTTATTACAGCTTATATACCTCTGCAGTGTCCATGCAAGGAGCCTCATAAAATTAGTTAGGAAGTATTGCCTCTTTTTCAATTTTTTGGAAAAGTTTGAGAAGAATAGGTATTAAATCTTTGAATATTTGGTAGAATTCACTGTTGAAGCCATCTGGTCCTGGACTTTTACTTTTTGGTAGGTTTTTTATGATCGTTTCAATTTCCATACTGTTGATAGGTATAATTAGATTTTCCAGTTCTTCATAATTCAGTCTAGGAAGGTTATATCTTTCTAAGAATTTGTCCATTTCTTCTAGGCTATTAAATTTGGTGTCGTATAATTTTTTATGGTATTCTTGTACGATCCTTTGTATTTCAGTAATATCTGTCAGAACTTCTCTTCCATTTCCAATTTTGTTTATGTCCTTTCTCTTTGCCTTAGTGAGTCTAGCCAGGAGTTTGTCAATGTTATTAATCTTCTCCAAGAACCAGCTGTTTGTTGCATTTCTTTTTTCTTTTGTCTACTTTTTTCTCAATTTCATTTACTTCTGCTCCTTCCTTCTGCTGACTTTGGACTTCTTTCGTTCTTCATTTTCTAGTTTTTAAAAATGTAATCTCAGATTGTGTATTTGGAATTGTTCTTGATTCTTAAGATAAAACTTTTGGTAATGATATGAACTTTCCTCTTGTTACCACTTTTGCTGTGTCCCAAAAGTTTTGATATGTTGTACTTTCATTCTCGTTTGTTTCTACGTATCTCTTGATCTCTCTTTTTATTTCTTCTCTGACCAGTCCTTTTTCTTCTGTGTGTGCCTTGTCTCCATTTCCATTTGCAGATTCTGATCTTTACTCCCTCCCCTTTTCTGTTTTTATTGTCTCAAATTATCCCTAATTATATGTTCATTTCTAAGTTGCAGTAGATGTTGTCTTCTCTCTTTAAGTGTTTTTTTTTTTTAGCCTTCTTTAACCTTTAATCATTATGTAACATTTAAGCTTATAATACTCTGTTCTTAATAAGGGTTACACTTTCCTGCTTCTGTCCGCCTGTTAGTTATCTTACTTTTGTTTCAGGTGGAATGACCCCTTTCACTATTTACTGTAACTCAAGCCTTCTAGTAGAAAATTCCCTCAGCTTTTGTATGTCTGGAAAGGTCTTTATTTCTCTTTCATATCTAAAGGAGAGCTTTGCTGGATATATTATTCTTGGCTAGTAATTTCTTTCTTTCAATAGTTTGAATATTTAGTTCCACTCCCTCCTTGCTTATAAGGTTTGTGCTGAGAAGTTCAATAATAATCTAATGAGTTTTCTTTTATAGTTACCGTCTTCTTTTCCCAGGATGTCATGAATTCTTTCTTTGTCATTAATTTTTGAAAATTTTAACATAATGTGTCTTGGAGAAGGCCTTTTGGGGTTGAGGTATTTAAGTGTTCTGTTTGCTTCTTGGATTCAAAGATCCAGTTTTTTCCATAGGTTTGGGAATTTCTCGTTGACAATTTGTTTGAATATGTTCTCTGTTCCCTTCTACCTCTCTTCTCCTTCTGGTATACCCATTATTCTTATGTTGCTTTTTCTGATGGTATCAGATAGTTCTTGTAGCATTCTTTCATTTTTTTTACTCTCAATCCTCTCTCTTATTCCTTCTGCACCATTTCTAGATTTCTGTCTTCAGTATCACTAATTCTCTTCTCTATTTGGTCAGCTCTATTTTCTAAACTTGCTATTTCATTCTTCATCTCTTTTAATGAGTTCTTCATCTCCAGAAGTTCTATTTGGTTCTTTAACTGTTGGAATTTTCTTGCATCTCACTGAGTTTTTTAGAAGTGCAACCTTGAATTCTCTGTCATTTAAATCTCATATTTCTATATCTTTGAGCTTATTTCCTGGAGATTTTTTACTTTCCCTCTGAGTTGCCTTGTCACCTTGGTTGTTAATGGTGTTCAGTGGAGTATTTCTCCACCTGAGTATTAATGGGAGTATATTCTGCATTTTTAAACTTATTTTTTATTTTTCAATTATAGTTGGCATATAATATTATATTAGTTTCAGGTGTACAACATAGTGATTAGACATCTATATAACTCATGAAGCAACAATCCCAGTGAATCTAGTACCTATCTGACACCATACATAGTTATTACAGTATTATTGACTATATTCCTTATGCTATATTTTATATCTCCATGACTATTTTGTAACTACAATTTTGTACTTCTTAATCCCTTCCCTCTTTTTCATCAACCTCCCCCTATCTCCCTCCCACCTGATAACCCTCAAAATATTCTCTGTATCTATGAGTTTGTTTCTGTTTTGTTGTTGTTGCTGTTTATTTTGTTCTTTAGATTTCACATGAATGTGAAATCATA